GTCAGAAACCCCACCTCTACCAAAGTAAAAATTACCAGTACGCACTGCGTGGCACTGCTGCCAATTTTCTTCCTTAAGTGGCTTTCGCCCGTGCGCATCTGGTCTCTCACTCACCGTTTCTGCGTCTGTACACCGCATATTCGTCGGATGGTAAGAATTAATTCGGCCTCATTCGCGCCTCTTCGGTGGTTTCTTCTGCTCTCTTCTCGATTGGATTTTGAATTTGCACATACAGATTAATGTTTCAATCCACCGCTGTCAAAATGCACCAACAGATTTGTGGTTGGGTCCCCAACAAACCACTTGCAGTCGCAGATAGCGTCTTTGACTTTTATGCAAAGGGATGACAAAGACAGACATTACTGGAACTTTTGCGTCCTCTTGGATTCATTTGAGTTTTGCTGCTCCAATAGACAAACTGATACACATCGAGTATTCGCCGCGCACTGCCATAGAATACGCCGCGACGTATTACGATTGTGTCTCCCAGGAGTAGAAAGGGCCCACAATTTAGCAGGTTACGTGGTAAGAGATCGCCAGTGCCGGTGAAACACCACCTTCACGCATAAACGAGCTTCCGCAGTGATTCATCCACATAAGACTTTCCTCATCCCAAGGCGCAGGTAGAAACCTCCTTTGTGCTGGAGTGTGGGCCTATGCTTCATCTGAGCTCACTAATCACATAGTCAAACTCCTGACCTGGGAAATCGATTAACCTTTCCATTGACAATACAGAATTGTATGGGTGAACGATGACATCACTGGTGTCCTCGTGATTCGCAAACACTGAATATGTCTGGATGACCTTTTTTGGGAACCTGGAATGAATCGCCTACATTCCTGCTTCATGTTTCAGAATGAGACCAGTAGCAACATAAGAGGGAATTCACAAAAACCCCACCTATCCCGTATTTTCTCTAAAATAAGCGATCCCATACCGGATCCAGTTCCACCTGACACAGAATGAGTGAACAGAAACCCATCCATCTGATCACTATTTTCTGATTCACGTTCAATGATATCCATTATTTGTTCGTACACTTCTCTAAAGCATTAGATTTGCATTCCAGTTCATGAAACTGGATAGAACAAGATGAATGATGTCGTAAGTTTCCACTGATAAAATAACATACCCGCCTTGCCCATAACCACTAGCCCAATTATTGCCAGCACCGCCTCCATGCGCCGACATATAGATGTTATCGGGATTGAAAAGTCTGCTGAAATTCTCGCTCGTCATGATCCCATTGATCACTCTCGGCTCCAGATCAACCAAAACGGCACGAGGAACATAGTGATCGTCGTCAGCCTAGAAACATTCGGAGTAAATGGTTTCTTATAGCGATTGCTCAACGGTGTAACGTGACTAACCTGATAGAAAAATACATCTTTATTGTCATGTATGCTTTCCTCACATGTCATACGACCTCGCCTAAATTCGAAAACTCTTATTTAGGTTCATGCTACTGAAAATGTTCCACTCATAAAGGGACTTTAGAGCCGGTCTGTAGAGGTGAGCGCATTATAAGACTAAGCAGCTTGTTTTTAGAAAAAACCAGGACGCAGGACATGCAGGACATACGCCGAGAAATCGCATTGCGCCCACAAACTGCAACCACGGCATGCAAAACATGCGCCTGCGCTTGATTGACCCGACAGCTCAAATTGAAATGATACTTTTGGGATAGAGGTGGACATTACCCTAAAGCACGGGGCTTTACAGAATCAAGCTTAGCCTTTTCTGTAGGGCACACACACACATTCATCTGATGCACAGAAGCCTACTTTCCTGAAATGGTAGTCCTGCCTGCAAGCATGGAAGAGGTTTTGTTGCGGCTCAAAACACAAGAGTAAAGCGTAACCCGCTCGCTACGAGGTCGCAGCTCCGCCCTCTGGCCATGGCAACTAACTTGTTTTCTAGATGTTCTGTGAAGAGCGACTGTTCCACCACTGCTCTCTCTCCACTTAGAATGTTGGGAGTAAGGTAATAAGGAGAACATTCCCAGCACATACATTTAAGCACAAAGAAGGCTTGAAAGATGAAGGAATTAGGACCGGTGCTAGAAACCTTTGAAACCTGATCAAATAGGGTACATTGTGGCCCGCAAAACTAGTGGAAGAAAGACCTCGCTATTCCATCGAGCAGAGTCAATTTCAGATGCCAGCATATGAAAGCAGCCGGAGCTAGCAAACGCTACTGATTACCACGGAATCGGTCGCCGTATTACGTCAGGTCGACTTCGACCTGGTTCAATGAAGGCTTTCGGGCCAAATGGCTAGTAAGGTTTTGAATAGAAGTAGACCGCGCGGCACATTCCAGACAGATTTCTTAGCAACAAAGCAGTGTGTTTTATCTTTCGCGGCAGAAATATTAAAATTGTGAGATGTAAGGGTTATTCTGATCAGAAAGAACGGACACTGTTTGCCTTCTACGGCCCCTACTTCCTGACCTTACACTCGCTGCTTACCAAAAATTGTCCCTTAAGGTTGATTTGGTTTGAACTCCGCCTGAAGGTACACTCTAGTTCGCTCGGACGGTTGGGCGTGTCAGACAGTATGAGTCACTCTGTCAAAGCCGTTCTCTGCCTTCTTGTTGAAGCGCGCATGCGACAAAAAGTGGTAGAAAACGAGTAATACGAACGATATGATACAGTCATATCATTTGCTCGCTTTAACAACTGGTGGAGAACGGGTTTGGCACCGCGCCAAACTCATCCCGCCTGACACGCCCAACCGTCTGCAGCGAACTACATATATGTTGAGCCCCTGAACAAAAATAGCTCACCTGTCTTACGCGTAAATACGCTGCGCTAATGTGGCGGGTTCTCTTTCGTGCCACACAAATGTGGTATTCGAGCTTAGCTCAAACTACCCCCGAAAAAAATTTCCAGTCAAGTCAATCCACGAAGACAATTTTGATCAAAAAAACCTATGCGTTATGAAATGTAGGGCAAAAAGGAAAGCAGTGTCAAAAAAAAACGTCTAAAGGGTTCGCACCCATCAATCGCGTGTTCATCGCAAAGCGTCTTCCAAAAACTCTGACCAATTTGATTGCCACATTGGCCAACATGAATGGACATCAATTGACCATGAGACATCTAAAGAACTGTTTGAGGGTGAGTTCGTTTAACAACTCATCTTTCCGTGCTAGATATTACGAAAGAATACACTTAATTGTACAAGGACACCACCACAATGAAGATCTTTATGAACAACGTCAACAATATCAGCATAACAATTGAAAACAAATAACAATGAACAAAATTCCATCACGCCATACTTGATTTCAAAAACTCTTCATAATTCGATTCGAACTTTTCTCGTATACTTGCAAAAATCTGCAAAAATGATTAGGAAAAATATGAATGGCTAAATTCCAATAAAAGCATCGTACCGTCTCTAGATGAGTAAGCGCTTCTAATAATACAGACCCGGCCACAACACCCTCTTTAGTCTGAATCCGCAACAAAATTTTATCCTCAAGAGGATGTGGCACATTGTATCCAGCAAATTCAACACCTTTCCTAAAAATAATAGGATGAACTCAATTCTGTAGAAGCCATCGGCGCAGTTTGGCTCAGCCGAGGGGGGGGGGGAAGTGGTATTCTGCTGATTTCCATCGACCACTTGCAAAGTCTTCTGCAAGAACCTGTGAGTCCCTGTGAAGCTATGCAGTAGCAAGAGCTTCGTTTTTACTTGACAAGTACCTACACCTAGTACCTACCTAGTACCTACAGTTCTCAACAAGGTGAAACGAACGTAATTTAGTAGAAACAAGTAAAAGAAACCGTAAAGTTTCTCACCGTTCCCCTCCGCGCAGAGTCAAAGAGTGCGAGTTTTATTAATGCTTGCCCAAAGTAAGTGCAATACGAAAAAAATAGTATTTCATGATTACATTCGACAGAGTATGTGCTTCAAGGATTCCATGTTATGAACCTCTTCACGATTAGGGTGAGACAAGATGGATCTGCGTTGTAACCATCAGCGTCAAGCTATAAAGGCTCAGAAATTATGACTACTAGAGTGTCTATATTTATTTTTGTACAATTTTGTTTCAGGTTCCGCTGACGCTTTTATATTTGGATTCACAGCAATAATAACGGGTTTTCACATCATGCTCGGCCTAATAATCTTGGGAAGGTTTGGCCTGTAAAGGAATCCTATTGAACTCAGAGCTATACGCCCCCCCCCCCCCCCCCCCCCCCTAATGGAGACGAGTCTTTATCGTTGAAAGCGGTAGGAGCTCGGCAGTGGACATCACTAGTGGGGAGTTTGTAAGGTCTTGTTCCTGCGATGGACGGACGTTCAGGTCAGATGGGTTTGGCGGGCGCCATTCTGTCTCCATTCATGATTTGGTGAAAAACTTTGCAACAAGAAAGGTATGTTAGTTGTTGCTGGCGAGCCCATTACTTCTTACATGGAAATGTGAGTTGTACAGGTGTATTTAGAGATAAACTCCGCGGACTGAACAATGTGGATCGCAGCGTTCAGTCAAAAACCTTTAGGCCAGCGTTCAGACTTCGCGACTGCAGCGCTTCGGTCGCGCGATTCGACGCGATCGATGCAGTCGAAGGCGTGCGCATCGATCGTACGATCGCGGCGACTGAAGCACTGATTCGTGAAGTCTGAACGCTGCTTAAGTTCGTAAGTGAGGTTCCGAGAAAAAAAGCCAAAAGTAATAGTGGAGAACAGGCAATAGCTGGCTCCGTGATCACTAATCGTTTGTTTGCAATCCGTACATTAACAACGAAAATAAAACGCAACACGGGTGTAAAACACGTGAAGCGACAGAAAAATTTTGCCTTTGAGTCTCGGTGGGCGGGACAACTAGGGAGGCGTCAGAGCTGGCACTTATGAGGGCCACAGCATCTTGGTTCCTGACTGTGAAGCCGGAAAAGTGGGTAATCGCAGAGACTGCGGGCTAGACTTCTTGAGCAAGGAAGGACTCCTACGAATTGGTTGAGCGTAGAGATATTCTTTAAGCTGCACTGTATCAAGTCAAGCACTGAAAGGATTTAGAAAAACTACTCGATGAAGCGCTGCTGCAATAAAGGAAATGATACAATCCAACTTCTGAGCAACTCTTTACGAGCATCACCACTGCAAAAAAATGCCCTTCAGTTTCTGAGACTCAGCTGTTCACTGCCTCAGATAAGTTCCGGCTGCACATCCATAAACAGTACAAGACCACCCCGTTTGACCTGCTCATTTTCAGCTTTTATCCCAGTCCGTAAAGGGACACTCTATCACCACTTAGAATTAGAACAACCGTAACGTAGTTACAAAACATCCATAAATTCGTATATTTATGGAATAGTATATGGTACTGTAACTAGCTATAAGACCTTCACAATTGTAGTTCAAAATACAACAAACTATCACGGAAGAAACTTACAATTTCAATCTTAGGCTTTTCCATTTCCAGCGGACGGTGTTTGGACTGACCGGCTACCAAGACAGACGACTGACTGAATGAAATGGTGACAGACACGGCTGAAGAGTCCATCATAGGGCAGCTCGGTTCATAACCCGATAGCGTCCCACTGATGAACTGCTCAAACGAGTCGTTGGGCAGACGGGTGGGACCACTAGCATTGCACTGATTTAGCTCGACTAATGAATACAAAATAGTGGTCCATCCCCTCTTTTAAACAGTTTAGTGCGCAACGCTATAAACTATGGGCGCGGATCCCATTTCAGAACGCATCAGGTGACAACCTCAACGCGCCACTACAACAAATAAATGAAGTCATAGATTTTTCTGACCAAAAATGCTCCAGTAAATGCTTCAATATTGAAAAAAAGCGATAGCATTTCACTTCGAGCGCAAAAAAATTCGGTATTTATTCTGATAAATAGGTAAAATGACCGCCAAGTTCAAGCGATGTAATACACACCTTAAACAGTATTCTACCGAGTTTGTAAATGTTTATCCAGTGGGCACATTGGAGACAAACAATGTGACGAGTTGGGATGGAAGGACGACGATAAACCGGCATAGCGTTTGCAGAACATCAAAATAATTAAACCTCAAAAGGATAAAACTTGTACCAGAAACCAGATTATCGCTTGATATTTTTGAGACGAAAAAAATAATGATGTTAGGACCGTAAAGTTATGGAGCAGCGTATGAATGAATAAACACAACATTCAAATTTTAATTAGGGTTTCTGGTAGCATATCATAAGGACCGTCAATATTTATCACTCTTCCTGACTTCTGCGAACGCATGCTGCCACTCGTTTCTTGAATTCGGAGTAATTCTCCCGTTGCATTTTCTGGAAAACACATGAAATCACGTACATCTCGCGAAAAAACCTAACTGATAACGAACTTACCGCGGCATCAACATTAGCAGGTGACTCGAAGTTGGGATCAGCTAGCATCGAGATAACAGACAACAGTATCGTCTCGACCGTGTGTACTGGAAGCCAACGTTCTTCAGGTCGCTCATAACCCCATCTAAATATAACATTTAAGGACCAAATATTCAAAAATAGAAAAACAACTCTAACTCAGGAAAGATTATGTAGTCACGTACTTATCATCTCCTGGATCATGAAGAATGGAAATGCAGACATTGCCTTCTTTGTCAACTAAAAACAAGCTAATTTTCGTGATACTGTAAACACTATCTTCTGCAAAAGAAAAGAAATAGATCAAGAGAACCGAATGTAGAGAACTCTTCCTTTATCAAGTGAAATGAACGTTAGAATGTGTTTATACATTGCATCAGCGTTTCGACCAAAAGGCTGGATCGATACCTACACTTTCTTAAACACTTAAAACTCCGATGGAAAGTATGAATGCACCATCGTAGAAATAATGGTAGCTTATAGCGAATTATTCCGAGAACCTCTTCTTCTCCGGCTGAGTCATTTCGGGACGATAATAACGTTGGGAAAGGCCGTTCACAGGACTCCCTCTGTAAACCGGAATTCTCGCAACTGAGATGAGGACTTTCGCCAAAGCTTGAAGGGAGGAACAGCTACGGGTTGACAAACCGACTTGAAGTACGGTACTTCTTTCTGGAAAACGTTACTGCTAGTACTGCAAGGGAGAGTTCATTAAATGCGCCTTTCCCGAGGTTACTAGTGCCTGTTTTAGCGTTTTAGCCAACATGAGTGGGTATTCTAGAGCAGAGCACCAAACCAGCGGCATTTGAAAGCACTGAACATTTCCTCGATGCGAACAGTCAGGAAAGGATTGTTGCCTAGGCCTAGGGGTAGGGAGCTCCGCTCTGGGCGGTATTCAATACGGTCGCGTTCATAGCTTGCGACCATGAAGAAATGCAGAAATGAAGAAATGCGGAATCTGCGGAAATGACGAAAAGCATTACATACATATCGATTTGAAGAAATGCAGAAATGCGGAAACTGCAGAAGTGCGGAAAGTGCGGAAATGCGGAATCTGCAGAAATGACGAAAGCAACCGATACGTATCGATTTTCCGCATTTCGGCATTTCTTCAGATTCCGCACTTCTGCATTTCTTCAGATCGGTACGTTCGGTTGCTTTCGTCATTTCTGCAGTTCGCACTTTTCAGTTCGGCATTTCAGCATTTTGAAATCATATATTGTGTATTGATGCTTTTTCGGCATTCCGCAGATAATCCGCATTTCTTAATCTGCATTTCTTCACGGTCGCAAACTATGAAAAGTCGGCATACCGGAGAAGTTCTTCATAGACTACGTTCATCCTTCCGTTATGTGCAAAAAGGATAGCATAGCTATATCGGCGGCAGTCGCTAGCATTTTGGGAAATCGACGTTCAAGGCATCGAATGATACCCGTACTATCCTTTCGCTCGAAATGCTGACTCTTCCCAAATGCCGAAGCCGCAATGCATGACGCAGAAGAGACGGAAATTGATATTACGGTTTTTTTCGCCAGTTCCTTCAATAGACACAGGAGACCCAGCCGAAGAACTGAGATACGCACGTAGCTGAATTAAGTACGGTGGTAGGTGAAAGAATGAGGTATTGTGGGTAGGTGAATTGAGGATGAAACTTCGTGTGTTTGGGAAATCCCGGCCCGCAAAAGTGATTGCAGCAATCAAATGCCACTACTTCATCAACGCCACCCACGTGGATATGAGCGCACTGATAATCCCGTGGTCAGTATTAGTCACTGAAAATGTTCGCATTCTGTACACAGGCCAGCACGAAAGAGATAGGTACGATACTCTTAAAATTGTTATGAGGTGGCTGTGGAAAGTGTACTAGGGGGTTGGAAAGCATTCTCGGTGTGGTTCGACAGAGGGAGGGACAGCGTCTATTCTTTGCATTTTCGCTACTTCTCATTGTCTTGGGCATTGCTTTACAAGAGTCGGCGAGTAGTTTCCACAAACTTGACTGCTATCATTTCATGGCTTCGCAAGATGTCACAAAACTACTTGATGGCGATCCCTCCTCCCTTTTGCCTAAGTGCGGCCAATTATCTAACCGAAAAAAATTTATAAATGACACTACAACAGGGATAATCTTTGTGAAAGGAAAAAGTCTTTCGCGGTCAATAAAATTCTTTGTGAGGTGCAGGTTGCAGCATTATACTTCATTTTTTTTTTCAGAATCGTAGTGGCATATTTGAATGAAGATGTGGCTTTACGTGAACTGGCGATGCAGCGATGTACAAGTTTCAAGATGTTTTGTATACTTCAAAAGGGAAGGAATGGAAATAGAGTCAGAAAAGATGAGACATTTTGAATGAAAATGTTCAGCTGAAAAGGATCTTCGGGAAACGGGAATTACGATAACGATCTATGCATAATCTGTAAAGCGAGAAAACACTCAACAGAAAAAGAAAAGTTACGAGAGCTTTTTTGGGGTAGAATCACTACAAATTTGGCCGGCGTAAGGCTATCGCAGACGTGGGCAGCCATGCCGAGTGGATACGTCGGGTATGAGGCTCAGGATGCGTGCGTCGAGGGTTTTGAATCCTTGATGTGATGGTGCTCTTTTTGCATTTTTCGAAGTGGCCCTGTCCACTTAAAGCCATTGACATAGCATTGTTCCATGATAACTTCGTTTGGAGATAATGATTCTGACTGATGAGCACTTGGAACATCCGGTAGAAATCATGGGTCTGGCTGTTGTCTTCCTCTTGGGCTTTGATTTGAAGAGCATATACAACAAAAGTGCACTCCAACGAAAGATTTTGCCTTCAAATGAATTTATTCTCCAAACGACATGACCGGAAAACGAATCCGAAGTTGTGCAGGAAGATGATTATAGTGGGGAAAATGCTTCCATATGAAGTGGCGTTGATGTGGCAATCATGCTGGAGATCGCGATGGGCAAGAGCTTCATTCACCAGTGGCATAATGTTGAATTATGTCTATCTCAAAGAGTTTTCGTATCTGCTGGAAGTTTTCGGCTCGTATGACAATCTTTTCAGCCGGAGGTGATCTCCATGAAATCGTTCGCAATGGCTCCATCAGTTCAGAATCATTACTTAAATATTATATGAATGTGTTATGCAAATGCTTTTGAAGTGCGAGGGACACTTTCGAAAAATGCAGAAGAAACACGCATCAAGGATCCAAAAACCTCGGCCTCGCACCGTTGAGCTTCTACGACGTATCACTCCGGCATTGCTGCCCGATCTTCAATAGCCTTACGCCGCCAATTTGTAGTGATCTCTCCCCAAAAAAGCTCCGTAACTTCTTTCTGGGAGGTCCGCAGCAGATATGGAAGACGGTTTCGTAATTCCCGTCCGAAGACCTTTCAGCCGTATACATTTCATTCTGTCAATGCCATTCACTACTTATCCTTCCCAGACGAATCTGGTACCAATTTACCGTCCCCGGAGGGTAGAAGGCTTGGTTGGCCTGGGCGGGTGTCGACCCGGGATTCGAACCCAGGACCGCGCGAGTGGTAAGCGCGCCACTTGTCACTACACCACCTCCGCCTCCGCAACGTATCCGCAAACTTCACAGCGAATCAAATTCTACGGATCCTTCAAACAGTACCAAATGGAAGCAAACCAACTCACTATTTGGATGCCAGATTTCCGAAACGAATTTCATTTTTGGCGGTTTCTGTGGATAATCCTTTGGAAAGTCTAGTATGGCCTTGAAGAACCCGCCCTCACTGAAACACCAATATTAGAAAACGAACAATTGTTGTGCTTGGAAAAGATCACATAAGTATTCAAGAGAACTGAGTGTCAAAGACAGTGTGCGGGGCAGAGCAAATTGCCAAAGAAAATCTTATAAGTGAAAGAAAGAATAAGAAACGAAACAAAAGAAAGAGAGAAAAGAACGTACAAAATACACAAATCAGCGAAATTGCAGACAGCCGCAATTGTATGATCAGAAAAATCTACTAAGAAAAAAGAAAAAACAAAAGAGATAACATCAAACCAATCCTGGCGTGGAAATTTCTTGATGTTCATCCAAACTCACTAAAGTGTATCTGGTGGTCCAATGACGAGGACTTCCCATTTATAGATGTCATCGTCATTTACGAGTCCAGCAGAGAATCCTTCCACAGGCAACCGCCTCAATTCTGGAACATTCGTTGGTGAGCGCACTCTACCTCTGAACTTCTAATTATAGCTTGAAGCAGAACACGTGGCCTAGTCGCTAACGCGCTGGTGCCTTTTCCAAAACCACTTTTGTTTCATATTTCTATTATAAAAAGGAAAAACATTCTCAAAGAAGGTATATCGGAGACTCAGCGCTTGTCCTTCCACCTTCGCTAAGTAAATTAAAGATTGCAAACAGTAGGAACAGTAGAAAAAAATTTAACTGATTCCTTGCACTCTTGTATCTCACGGAAGCAAAGGCTCATAGAAAGTGTTGAAATAAACGAGATTGAAGAAATAACAAAAACGCATAGTTGGTAAAAGCTAACTAAACAAGTTCGCTCAAAATATCATGGACGCAGAAAAACGTTGAGCGATCGAAAGCAGCGATCATGCCTACCGCCTTGCAAGCTTTAAAAATTAGAAATCAATTGAGACATATGAGACAAAACAACCTATCGGCTGGCTGGGAGTATGGGTACGAAATGCTCTTTTTAAAGTGCTTTTTTCAGACCCAAACTTTTTTCGAAGGACTTTCTAATGAAACTATCTGCTCTCGGTCTTGACAGAAGCCTTCAAACGCGCGGTGGTGAAGTCGAAGTGTTTCGCTGAAATTCACTTCAAAATAAGTCCATGCGCCGTAGAGTTCATAAGCGAGGTCATACTTTCATTACAATCACACAAGGACAATAGTCGAAAATATGAATGAGTGTTCCAATATTAAAAAGACTGCTACCGCTACGAAAAAAAAATGTACTGGGTTTCGAACCATCAATACCGTGAATAAAACGAGACGTATTAAGAAAATATCATTTACTTTTTGAAAGAAAAAAACAGTCACGAGTTTTAATGAGAGTGTACAAAATGATTCTTGGCACCCATATCAGGCAAGAGGGTCGTCTCATACTGTGAGACGAAGAGGGAACTGACCGTCGCCACAGACGACGATACACAAAAAGGATCAGGTTGCTGAGGACCGTAGTTGTTCGGAGAGCATTCTTCTCTGTTGGGAAATCAAAGACATTGCGACCAATGCACTCCATCATCGATATTTCCTCATATGGCAGCTTTCACAGACTTTGCGACTATGGGGAATCGGCGCTTTGGAGGAAACAGGGAAAATGCGCAAAAAGAAATATCGATCTAGCGTCCTGGACGCCGATCAACCTATAGTGTCCCTTTCGCTCAAAACACCGAATCTTCCAAAACACCGATTCTCTCAGATCCTCCATTACAGGCCTCCCTTCGAAGCGCCGATTCTTCCTCGCGAGGTATGAGCGCAGCCTGTGCTGGATTCCAAGCATGATGGAAAGTCATATAAAGATTGCACTGCTTCCAGTTGGCCTCAAATTCTCTGAAACTTTTCTCGGGAGTCTCGAACCTAATTTTTGATTTTTCATTGTTTCATTTGTATAGCAATGGGAGGCCATTCCCTACAGCGGATATTCCATTCCGAGCCTTGAGGCCTTTTGAGAACAGTTTCCGTTTTCTGTATGGCACTCCTGTGAAGCGGACTAATCACCTGACCACCCGCGATCACTGCTTGTACGTTTGATCGCAAAAACGTTTCCATTAGACCACAACACGCCCTCCATGGGGCACATCTCAGCACTCTGCGGCGTCTCATTAGCCTTTCTACATAACGTC